CAATGCAGGCAAAAAAAATCCTCTTGTAAGGTTGTTCCAGAATCTTGCCGCTGTGATAGTTAGAACTTGTCTTCTAATTAGTCCTAAATTAATTCATGGACGATTTATAACTGTTTATTTTGTGTCCTATGGTTTAAGTAGCTTTTTCTTTTCCAGGTAATTTAATCCTGTGTTTCTAGAGAGAAACTTTATTCTTCCACAGTACTTGCCTTACTAGGCTAAAGGAGCCACTGACTTTCACCCCACCCTCTCTTCATCTGATAGACTTCACATTTTCCCAGTTATTTCCCAGTCAGTAAACTTTCTTTGAACTGAGGTTGCATGTTTCAATTAACATTTTAATTTATCTGCTTTGCAATCGAGAGGTGGACTGGAGAGAAAAAAAGTTTTGGAACTGGAAACTTGAAGCAACTGGTCCTGTGTTTTGGTTTTTTGGGGGGCATTTTGCATTTGTGTTTTTATATTTATTTAGTTTGGTATTTTTAGCAATTGTAGAAAGTTCATTAAAAGGTACCAGAAGACTTTTAAGCTCTTCATCTAAGTTTATCACTTAGGCTCACTCTTCTGTATCAAGCATCCTTACTTCAAGGACATGCTTTCCTTTGTTCATCCTTGTGTAAGGAAAAAATAAGGCTTTTTGTCTCTATAAGCACTAAAGAGAGGTACATATTCAACATGTTCCAATTGCTTTGCTCCAGCACTGGTTTATGTTCAGTGCTTTGTCCTGTGTCACTGCTTTTGTATTCTTTCTGTCTGCTTCTTCTCACAAAGAGCAGTTATTTCAAATTGTAAACAAAGCAGAGGTAAGGCATGTCAAGAATAGATTTTGCAATTCTCTAGTTGATTGGCATAGAAAAGTTTTATTTCAAATTTTGCCCTTAATGTATCTTTATAAAGACACTTCGGTTTTATTTTTAGTGATTTTAAAGTAATTTTGAGTATCTCTAGTGAAAATTCTCTACGTGGAACACAGTAAATGCTAAAGCACGTGAAAATAAGACACAGGAAGCATATCGAACTTCCCTCTCATGGCTTTGGCCTCTGTTCTGAAGTGTGACTCTAAATGAAACTACAATGAAAAAGGAAGTGTTTTTGTGACAAAATAACCCATATTTCTCCTATTCCTGAAGGAGAAGGGAAGAAGAGTTGAAGTTTGTTGAAGAGTTGTTAATATAACTTAACAGACTGCAAAGGTAATTGAGTTAAACCTCTTAGCCTCTTTGGAGAGAACTTCAAGTGCTGAACAGACCCTTTTTTTGGTAGTATTTACTCTGATGACCTCTTCGCAACCGCGTAGTGAAGGACGCAGTCCCTTCAGATATTCCTCACTTAAGCCCATCTCTTTGCTTCTTGTTTCTCTTGATAATGGTGAACAATTTTCAGAGCCAGCCGATTTCAGAGGCAACCCTGGGATTTGCTGCCTGAACTCCAGCGTTGGTGGAGCAGCCAGCAGAGAACGTTGAGAACGAGGTCCTTGCTCTGCTCTCGGGGCCCTTCTCTTGGGCTGCTGTTCCTTCACCAGCCTGTCTGTCTCTGCTAACCAGGTCCAGTGATTTAGGGCAGAGAACGTTGAGAACGAGGTCCCTGCTCTGCTCTCGGGGCCCTTCCCTTGGGCTGCTGTTCCTTCACCAGCCTCTCTGTCTCTGCTAACCAGGTCCAGTGATTTAGCAATGTGGTAGCATGACTGAACTGCACTGTCTCTCAGGACCTCGGGTCTGCCTCTCGGATGTAATGCCTAGCTGAAAATCAGCATGATTTTTGTCTTAGGAATGGCTTAGATGCTGTGAAATGCAGCAATGGAAAGCCAAATGTAGGACTGAGGACTTGCAGATTTTCTTGAACTGATTTTGAAATAAACAGTAGTTTGTAATTTGATCCTGGGGCTTTATTTTTTTTTCTCAAAAAGTAAATGTTTATAAGAAGATGGTGTTGTTTTACTTGTAGAAACTGGAGAAAAAGCAAATATTGAACTATTGCTCATTTATATTCCTTCTGTGTAGTGAATGAGAAAGTAGAGCTGTGGAAGTAATAGTGAGAAACAATGTAGTTAGAGACCAGGATTATAATACATGCTCTAAAAGGAGATGTAGAACATTTCTCAGGCAGTATTAATTTTGCAAATAACTGAATTTGAGGTTTTTGGTTTTAGTTGCATCTTGTGAGTAATACTGGGTAGAGGTTGATGAGCATATTTATATGCCTGCATTTTGTTTGAGCTTAAAGCTAGACAGCGTTTTATTTATTCATCTTGGAAGTGAAATATATCTGTTCTTTAAACTCTTCTAGTATTCACTGTAAATTCAGGAATGCTTTGCCAGTTAAATGCAATGTTCACAGTCTTAACTTTTTATCTATTTAAATCATTATTTATCCCTTCACAGGTGAACATCTAAGCCACTTATCTCTCAGAAGGATATCCTGTCAAGTGTTAATTGTATTCAACTAAAAATTTTAAAATTTTCCTTTAAGCCTTTTTCTGTCTTTGCTTAATCTGAACTAGTGACTCATAAATCTAGTAATTTTTTTGTCCTCTCAGAAGCCACAGAAGCCAGTTAATTAGGACCAATTTCACAAGGCGAAGAAGCAGTTTCATGCCTTGTCAGTGTTTTTTAGTTTATATCCCTTTTTTTTTTTCTTCTTCTTTTTTATCTACCAAACCTCATAAGAAATGGAAATAAAACACTAATTAGTTGCTGGAATTCAGCACTCAATCTTGCATCTGGGCAGGTTGAGTTTATAATGTTTTCCTTAATGCTGTCTTTGCAGTTTTTATCATATATATATATGTATGTACGTATGTATGTATATATATATGTATGTATATACATATATATATGTATAAAGTGTGTGTGTAAGAGAAAGAGAGTGTCTGTTAATGGAACAACTTTTAAAAGAAAGAAAAGTCTTCTGGAAGAAGAGTACAAAACAAAAAAACCCACACCCTCCCTTAGAGTATCAAGTAATTAATCAAGAGTGCCAGTACTAAAGCATGTAATGAACACAGAAGATTAGTTTGGTAATAAATATAAATAAAAGTTCTTTTAATCCAAAAAGCACAAATGTCGTACACTTACCAAAGTAATTAATTTTGTTCAAATTGAACAATTACTGTATTACTTCTCTTAATATGTGAATTGTTTATTCCAGAATGAAAATAAGAATGGAATTTCTTTGATAAATTTGTCCCAAAATTCTGTGTAAGAATGTTTTTGGTTTTTTGAATAGTAAGAAGCAGCTTAAATGTCAGAACGTGCAACTCATTTATTTTTATGTTAATTCTACTGCTATCAATAGAAAAGTGGATCAAAATACCGTAATAAAAATAATTTTCCTTGGAGTAACTGCAGTCTTTAAAAAATTTTAAAGTAAACAAAGTTCAGGTTCTAGAAAATTTAGAAAATGTTACTACTATCCTGATGATTATATGTCTTGCCATCTGCAAGACACTTGACAGTAGTTAAAAACCTTAGTGCCATGCCAGAAAGTATAGAATCATAGAATCACAGAATCATTTGTTTGGAAGAGAGCTTGAGATCGAGTCCAACTGTAGCTATCTACTACTCAACCATATCTCTGAGCACCCCATCTACCCAACTTTTAAATACCTCCAGGGATGGGGACTCAGCCACCTCGCTGGGCAGCCTGTTCCATTGCCTGATAACCCTTTCAGTGAATAAATTTTTCCTGACATCCAATCTGAACCTCCCTTGGCACAACTTGAGTTGTATCCTGAGTGCTGTTCCCTTATTGCTCACATTACTGCAAGTACCAGCTGAATGTAAGTTCTGTTAATAATAAATGTGATTTACTACCTAATCTGAGGTTAGTTAAGAGAGAGTTTCAAAAGTGAAGCCACGTGGTGCTGGTGGAGAGAGAATGTAGAAAAAAAGAGGATATATTCCTCCATTCTGTTAAATCCTAAGCCACCGACAGGAAACAAACAACATGGAGGGTGGTTCCTTCTTTAGCTAACCCTACTCTTTTCTTCTCCTGAAGTCTGCTGGTATAATTCAAAAAGTTTTCCTGACAATCTGGAGGGAAAAAAAAAAAACCCTCTGATTAGAGACTGGTGTGGAAAAATGGAAAAAAGTCCAACCTCTTTGCAGTTCAAAAAGTTATCAGCAGATAAAAGCGTAGAGGAAGAAGAGAAAATTGCTGTAGGTTAAGGAAACTACAAATAGATATAACCCTCTCACCTAAAAGAAATAGCTACATTTATTTTTTTTTGTGGATGCTTTGAGGTATATGAAGAGGGATATTACCTCTGGATAATAAGGTCTGAATCGGCACTCTGAAATTACTAATTTTTAAGGGTTTTATACATTTGCATATGCTTTTTTCAGTTTCCTAAAACTGAGAACTCTGATGCTTTGAGGATTCATTTAACTATACAAATGTGAATTTCTGTCAATGATGTTCAAACTATTTGTTGCTCAGAAATTTGTGGGTGGCTGGTGTAATTTATAATTCATAAGAATGCTTGTCTTAAAAACTTTAATTAAAGCTTATGGACTATGAAACTAACTGAGAACTGGAAGTATTTGGTATAATTTTTTATATGTCTTTAGATACCTCTTCAGTTATTAAATTAGTTTGGAGCAGAAAGAAGACAGGAAAAAACTGAACTGATGTAGGTGCTTAGCAATATGGTGAACAATCTAATGAAATTGCTCAACAAGGACTGGTTAAGGTAATACATATGATTAGGTGGTTAACTGTATTTTGCATTAAAAAAAATCTGCTTATTTCAAGTCAAGAAAAGACAACAGGCTAAACATGAATTACTTAGTCACAAATAGCTCCACTGTACTCCATCTACTTGAAAAAGTCTCACAGTCTACCTTTTTCTCAAGTGAGTAAATGAATCTTGTGGTTTCCAAGGAAGCCAGAACTACTGCTTTTAACGTCTGCTTTGTTAAAGCCACATGGATGCACCTGATGTCTATGAATTAATCCTGTTTTCAGACAATTTTATTTTTATTTTTTTTCCCCTTATGCAGAGGATTACTACTTCAGGAAAACAGCAGGTTTTCAGAGGCATTGCATTACTATAAACTGGCAATTGGTAGCAGACCCACACTAGCCTGTAAGTATTTATACTATACAGACTTGCGTAATATTGACTATTAGTTTTTTAAGGAAATCTTTCTACTCCTTAATAACACTTAATTTTTTTTCAGACGTTTTTCATTTGGAAAGCAAAAGGTAAAATTGTGTACTTCTCAGTTGAAAGCAAGTGTTTGTTAGTCGACAACTACATTTAATGAGGTGCAGGGAAGAAGCAGATAGAAAGTTAACACTGGGCAGTGCTGCTAGAACCTAAAATACTTCTCATCTGGGGTGGTGAGCCATAGAGGCTGCTGCCCAAATTTTCAGGCTCCTGTTTTCTGTTTCTTACAGCCAGTTCCTGATTTTTGTGGTATGTGGTGTGAGTGATTAATACAAATATTTTTGAAGTCCTTTCATTTATCCTTTCTTGCCTGGGGGAAATGGGAAATAATCCATAGGATGTTGACAGTGATCGGTTCCAAAATTAAGTGGCTGCTTTTTAAGATTGCTGATTTTTTTATAGCTTAAGTAGTAAATCTTCTATATATGTATATATACATGTATATTTGTATAAACATATGTATATATTTCTGTAATATTTCAAACAATGATGCTATGATAAAATGATAAAACATAATGGAACCCCATTAAAAGATAACAATTTTTTTCCCTCTTCACAGCTGCCTATTTAAATACCGGTATTATCCTGATGAACCAAGGGAAGACAGAGGAAGCCAGGAGGACTTTCCTGAAGTGTTCAGAGATCCCTGATGAAAATCTGAAAGATCCTCATGCTCATAAAAGCTCTGTTACTAGCTGTCTTTATAACTTAGGAAAACTTTTTCATGAACAAGGACACTATGAGGCAAGACTCCAGATTTGTCTACAATATTATGATAAAACCTTCGTATATAAATAATACCTATTGCTTCTATCCAGACTTTCAAAATACATCACAGGCACAAATTGGTTGAATTTCCCCAAATCAAGATTAGCATTCTCTACAGGGAATATTTATTCTCTACAGCCATGGGTGTGACAATGTTAGTTGGCGGTGTGATGTTCTGATGCCAGAGTCAACATTAGCAATGATCACATCTAGTGTGTTAATTCATTCTTTTTGACTTTGTCCCCGTGGCTGCTATGCAAAGGTTGTAGCCTGATTACAGACCAGCTGACCTAAAGTGTACTGGCTTTTTAATTCAAAATAGAGTAAGTCCGACTTTAGTTGAAAAAATGCAATTATGGTTGCTTTTGAGTCTCCAAAAATAAGTCCTAGTTGGAACAATTCAAAATTTCAGTCATCAAAAGCATCCTGTTATGTGCTATTTTCAGATAACTTGGCCTAAGTGCTGAAGTGGGTTGGTTATTTTTAATGTAACCATATGCTGCACCTAACTCATCTCATTTATGCGTGCAAATGTGACTGTTGTGATTCCTCTCTGTTCTCTCTGATGCAATTACTAAAACTGGACACTTACTTGAATTATGACCTTTAGCAGTATTTGAAAGAAAGTCATTGCATTGCCAGGCATACTGCAGAACAGGAGTTACACATGGTTTTGATGCATATAACTCTTCCTGACTGCAAGTTACCTCAGCTGTTTGATATTAGGCATGCACAAACTATGGATTCTGTGTCATCTATCTACTGAATTTCTCTCTGTCAGTTGGCAGTTACTAATTGTTTAAACACAGACAGCTAATACATCCATAAAGATATGAGAAAAGCAGCATGTTGTCTGCATGGCCAGTAGAGTTGGAGTGCAATGCCTGGGAGGTGCAAGGGGTGCCTGGTGAACATTTCAGTCTGACCCAAGCTTGATTTGATCATGCACTTAGATTTTTTTCAAGCATATTTCAGCCTTCACAAGCTGCAGCTATTTGGTGGGTTGATGTAGAAAATGATGCAGAGCTAACAGACTGACCAGTAAGCATCCTAAGTGCCAAATGAATCATAAATGTGTGATCAAGTAATTCAAGGCACAGCACATTTGTGAAGGGAATCCAGTTTTGGCATTCTTGATGCTACAGTCCACCTCATTCTTTCTGTGTAGCACACTTCACTTGTGAAGATTATGTTTTGTTATTACTTGACAGTAGACAATGATTTCTGTATTTTTTAGGTCACTTACTGTAGCTTAGTAATCAGAAAGTCCTTTCTCTGCAGTTTGATATTATTCTGTATTCTTTGACAGCCTATAGAATTTTATATATGTTTATAAACTCATCAGTCATTGAGGGGTTTAAAAAAGTCTCTTTTATTTCCACCTGGGAAAAGAGTTGCCATATTGGAAATAATTTGATCTCTTGTAAATAAGCTTCACTGAATTTGGTGAAACTTCTGGTATTTTAAATTTTTGTAAATGAGAAATGAGAACTTTGTGATATTTATGACACTGATGTGTTTTATTTCTCTCTGCACCTTTCATTTCAGGAAGGAAAAGTTTCACTTTATATGTGAAAGACTGCTTTTAAAATTGGCGCTTTACTAATTATTTGTCCCACTTGTGTGTCTCTTTTCAGGACGCCCTTATGGTTTACAAAGAAGCAATACAGAAAATGCCAAGACAGTTTGCACCACAGAGCTTATACAACATGATGGGTAAGTGCATTGTTAGTGCTTCAGAAAGGTACTTCAGGAGTCAGGCAGGGTGAAACAAAAGAGCTTAGCCAGGCAACTGGTGTTCAAATGAATTAGCTAATAGAAACAAAAATAATTGCCTTTAGTAGATGTGAGCCAAACCACGTTCAGAACTTAAATGCCAACAACTAAAATCCTGAATAAGGCACAAGAATTTATCAGACTGTTAGATACAGTTGGATATCTTTAAGAGTGTCAGTGCAGCACTTCTACGTTTAGAATGCATGCATTAGTGTTTTTCTCTGCCTCCAGAATCTCTCATGCAGTATCTTGGAAACCTCATGTGCAATTCACACTTTTATTTTTTAATCTACCATTTAGTCATCTTTGAAACTAAGAAGAAATTGTATTTACTTCACAGGAAATGGAATAAGATTGATTGTAACATAAAATATAGTGGAGATGTTTGGTGTTAAATTTCCTTGTAAACCAACAAGATGTCCAAACAGATCTGCAGAGATAGTTGTATTTTTTTTGCAGGTTGTGCCACAAACTTATTTCCCAGCTGATGTACTGTTAGTTAGACATCTACAGTGAGAGAATTCTTCTTCCAGGTCCAGCCTCTCTGTCCTTCAAAATTTTAGCGGAGTCCCTTAAATACTGCAAGAAACATTAATTTAGCTGAAGTATTGGCTTTTTTAAAAAAACTTCAGCTCCTCATATTCTTTATCACATCTTTATACAGGATACATTAAACAGATAAAAGAAAGAAGATAATATGATTTATTATTTATATTATTCAGATCTGTAAGCAAGAGGACAGGTTCCTCATTGCTCCAGAGATGCTTTCAAGTGGAATTATCTCTGAAAAGGGTATGTGGTTCTGCTAAGCAACCTCAGTGTCTGGCCTAGTAGAGTCTGTGAACTCCTGTCTGGGACAGAAAAGGATGTAAGGTGCCTTTAAAGTAGTTCAAAGTAGAGGAAATAAGAATACGTAGAAACAATTAGGATCACCTAGAAGCATGTGAGGTTTTGTGGCTTTTTTCCCCCTTTCCATGCCTAAAATAAAAGGGAATATATTGTTTGTTACCAATTGTTTTGAGACAGTTGTTGAAAGGAAGTACCACTCACTCTTCTCTCCTTATTTAGGAAAGACATCTTTTATTAGCTCCTTACAAGTACTTGCTCATGGGGGGATTGCGGGGGGGGGGGGGAAGTAGTTGTAACTGATGCTAGTTGTAACTGATGCTATGTGTTTGCAAATCTCCATAATTGCTAAATTAAGTACTTCTCTTGTCACAATGAGAAAGTATCTAATGTCAATAACAGTGAAAATGCTTCCTTGACAGTTCGTACAGTTCAATGGAGACTTCTTCGTGAATGCTGAGCTTTGTTAGATTAATGTAAATGGCCAAAATCCCTAAAATACACAAGCTGATTATTGCATGTACTTTTGTTCATAGACAGCCTTAGCTGAACTGTTGTTTTATCAGTTTTATCTTTCAGCATTTGCTGATAAATTTGGTGGGGTTGTCAACAGTCACCACTCCATGAGTTAAGCCTCTGCTTACTATCGGTGTCCTATAGCGACTGCTGAAGTACTGCAGTGCTCCAGCAAACACTCTGAAGTTTGATGGCCCTCTTTAGTGCAGATATATATTTCATAATTCTGATAAAAGTGCTCCTCAGAAAAATGGAAATAGGAAAAAATAAACTAATGCTGTTTCTAGGATGATGGTTGTTCCATTACAAAACAGGCCTGTGCCAGCCTTTTTCTTTTCCCATGAATAGATGCTCCCTTTATGACCTATAAGATTCTTTAGGGTTTTTATGCTTTTTTGCCCATTGGTTACTTTTTTAGGTTCGAGAGGCCTTTCTCAGCTTTGTTTAAAAGCACGGTCCGTGACATCCAGGTTCACTCTGTTCCTGGGATTTGCATTTATTAACTCACAAAGCAGTGGTGAACATAAAGACGAGCTCAGTCCTTTGCCCGGGCTTGGCTGCTGCTACACTACTCCTTCATCTGCTTAGCCCATGCTCTAGCTTCTGTTTCCTTTAGGCAGCCACTGGCACTTCACGGATGTCCTAGCAGCATAACAAGTTAAGGTCAGCCGAGCTTACCTTAGCCCCTTGTAGCATATTGCAAAGAGCAACAGGGTATTATGGAGCTCTGTAAAGTACAACTCAGCCTGAATGTAGCATATATTTGTATTTTGGTTGCTGTTGTGATGGCAGTTGTTGCAGGGAAACCAGAATTTTCTTCACTTTAGTTGCTGAGGTGTGGCTTGTTGGCTGTGTTGCAAAGGCAGTCCAAGAAGCTACACACAGAGTAGGGTAGTGGCTGGAACTGAATGCAGGGCAGCATTATGAACAGCAGAACTCATGCTGGTTTGTTTAAAGCTGTCCAGGATGCATCTGTCCGTGAGCGTACGTGACTGCAGTTAGACATATTGAATTAGTTTAGTCTCTCCTACCTGTAATAGGGTAAATGTCAGATGACAAGACAGAGCTCAGTAGCTATGCTCACTTCATAGTGTGAAAAGAAAAATATACCTGAGGAGTAATTAAGCCCATCTGATTTAGACATCTATTTTAGATTATAACTATAATCCCTTGCAAGCATACTTCTGTAAAAGGAGCTGAGATGACTAGCTTAGACTTGCTAGCTCAAGTTGGGTGAGATAAATCCTGAACACCTATTCAGTCATCTCTTTGCATCAAGAGTGACAGGAGGATAAGGCAGCCACATCCATTATCAGGAGTGCATCTGCTCTGCAGCTCATAGCGTGTCATTGGGTACCAGAGGGCCAGCCGGATTGCTTATTTCTCTTTTGATGCTCAAGATAAAATTATAAACATGTTCACTATAACACTCTTTTTGATAAACAGCATTATATAAGCTTGTCTGTCTACTTCTTGCTTTTAAAAGGGAGACTAGAGGAATTGAAATAGGCCAGTCCTGTGTCATGTGCTTGGAACTGCATGAAGCTGACTCTGAGCTGTGCCTGCTCACCGTGTGCCTATTACTGGGGAGGAAGGAGGAGAAACTGGGGAGTGCTCCCCATCTGCTCAGGAAGGAAGGGTCCTTCCCTGTTTCCCT